AATGTGTTTAAAAGATCCTTCTTTCTGCGACTTCCCCAACTTGTGCTGTTTTTCAGCATTGTATTCAGCCCATTGAAGAAATGGGCACAGTTTTGTTAGTACACTTTAAGAATTTGAATGTTTCATGGAATAAATAGAAACATATAATTCGTCACTGTCAGAACTTTGCAGTCCATTGACTCTATTATAGTCCCCAAGACATATTGCAAGATTCCCTCAAACATTCAGCTTATACCTAGCATTTCCACAATAAGATATTCCATGGAAAAGGGGTAATCATGTACCAGAACGGAAGGTGTCCATCCTTATAGTATGTGGAGATTCTTTAGGTTTTGGCGAGTTAAAATTACCAAGTCAGAATGGGACACATTTTCTATGTGTTGTTTAACACAACACTAGTAGCCCTTTGAACCTTTCAGTCACTATATGTATATAAATAATAAAAATAACAGAATGGTTTTGTATATCCACCATGAGAGAAGCTTTTAGAGTTAAATAAATGCTGCAGAACTGTAATTCTCCAGGACAAGAAGTTCTGAACATAAAGTACTGCAACGCCTGGAGCTGCAAAGCCCTTATAGTCCAGATCAATCATGGCAGCTCTGAAGAGATTTAAATGCATCATTTATAGCTGGCTCAACTTTCAGAATACCTTGTAGAACCTATTACATCAAATGTATTTAAACAATTTGTATTTCTGTCACTATCTGACAAAGATTATAGAGCTACAGTAACTATATAAAGCTATACAGCCCGTATTAAAAAAGTATTCCCAACAGGGCACATATTGCATGAAAGAAAGAGGCAGTTCATACCAATGACTAATAACAGGACCAACACTCATATAAAAGGTGTTAAGGGAAATCTCATTCTAGGCCTCCTCTAGAAATGTCAGGTAATAGAATCAGAAAAGCCAAAATAAAAACCAACCAATAAAACATATGAAAGAACTGGTGGTTGAAAGTGCAAACTCCAGGCAAACTGTTTTTTTTTTTAATTATAAAAGATTGGGGAAGGATTAGAACCTCTGTCAAAATTAAAGGCTGTCTGTCTTTATATTTCTCTCTTCTATCACCCTTCCGACACTCCATAACACTGGGTGGGGGGGGTGGGGGTAGGGATGGGGTAAATTTAGCTGGTTGCCCCTATATCACTCTAGTGGTACCTAAAAAACTCAGGCAACATATAAAACCCCCTCCGGCCCTCTTTAATTCATCCTGCAAGCTTTTTTTGGATTCTTACCTGCTGAAGCAAGGTATGTTCAACTAAGTCCCACATCCATGTCCCTTGTTGCTGCCATTTTGGGGTGTGAGGGACTGCTAATCCAGCATTGCAGATGCGCATGAGACCACCGATCCCCTACCGTCACCTCATGCTGATGTCACTACTCTTCTGGATCCTGAAAGGACCCCACCGCTGGCAGCCAATAGGAAGTGTTCATGTCATTCAGGCGGTGACATGGACACACAAAGAAGGACCAACAAAGAAAAAGAGAAGGCTCGGTACAGGAGGATCATGGGTTTAGGAAAGTAAAAAGGGCATTTAGACTACTTTAAACATTAAAAACTTAAATGTTTTAAAATGTAACCTTCCTAATATTTTTATACTTTCTCTGTGCCCTCAGTTTTTTTTTTTTACCTTAATTAGGCTTTCCTCTAAAAGAAGTTACCCGTTGATCCTGCCCTTCACTAAGACTTTCTTCTTGTCTGTGGCAGTGATCTGCGGCCTCAGAGAACCCCTGCAGTGTTGCCATCACAGTGCAACCCTTCTAGTAAGCAGTGTATTTCTTACTAGACATAGCTTACTTCTTAGGTCACGTGACCACATTTCATCTCTACGGTTTGGAAAAACCAGGCTCGGGGGCTGGGCTAAGCCGCAGTGGGTCATATCCTGGTGACGTGGTACGCTATTTCAAGCCCTCCCTTTCAGGCTATTGAGAGCGGAGTTCGCTGTTAGTCAAGCATATGATCCGCCCCCAGGGCCGGACTCTGACCTCAGTATTGCTCAGCTCGCTGTAGAGAAGAAAAGGGGTCACATGACCTAAGAAATGAAGATTTAAAAAATGGTATTGCTGAGACTATTAATTAAGTAATAATGAGTTGGTGTGCCTTGTCTATACAAGGTGGGATAAATATCTGGGTTTGCATCCACTTTAACCAGTTGACATCCGGGGTGTTAAACCCCCTTCCAATCCAGGCCATTTTTCAGTATTCAGCGCTGTGGTACTTTGACTGACATTTATTCCGTCATGCAGCGCTGTACTGAAATGAATTTTATACCCTTTTTTGGGGACAGATAGAGCTTTCTTTTGGTGGTATTTAATCACCACTGGGGTTTTTATTTTTT